ATAAAATAAAGTTATTTTTGAGAAATCAATTTTAATGACATTTAATCGCAACATAATTATAACACAAGGAAACCCCTGTTCAATATAAAATGAATTATTAATGATAACTTATAAATAACATTAAATTAATTTGTAATAATTGACAGAAAACTATTACCTGTGATTACAAAATATAATTATTTATTTAACATTGAATTTGACAAACAAAGGTCGACAATGGAAAGGTTTGACAAAAACTGATATTGTTATTTATTAAGTTGCTGATTATTAAGAATCTTAATGGAAAGTGTCAGGGATAAATGCAATTCTTATATCTCACAGACCTTATACTGTATAAAATATTCTGATGCAGTTATTAAAAGTTAATTAAGATGTCTTTGCTATTGAATTTATTTGTAATACAATTGTTTTCACTTTGATTTATCGTAACAAAATTCATGAGTCAGTGTTGAGTTTGCATATGAATAACTTTTGAGAATATAGTTTATTAAGTATGAATAATATTAAAATATATGATATAAAATATAGTCTTGATAAATTTTTTAAACCCAGAGACAATATCGTTATATGGGATGAAGAGATGGCGCCAAATATGGGATCAGTTTTTGGTGAAGTGATGTTGGATTGACCAACAAATTCAAAAGAATGTCATATCTTTGCAAAAGTTAGGCTCATATACGGCACAAAGTCTTGGAAAAGCTTACGAAATATTTATTAAAAACAAAAGAAAATATTTTATGTATTGATATCTCTGTGGAATCTGTAGCTAAATATATTCTGGTTTTATGTAAATGTAGCTATAATTGAATATTTAGTTTTTTAAAAGATTTTTCATGAAATCAATTCAACTAATCCATAAGAGAGCCCAACCCCGGCTTGAGGTGAATATATGGGCAAAACTACTCTATATATTGATAAATGTAATGATAATGTGTTGAATATATTTTCATTAAACTTATCATAAGTTGTGTCACATTTTCTCCCATAACACGACTTAAGCCTTAAAGCCTATCATTTGAATCATTTATTTATTACTTTTTCTTTATATCGCAGACAAACTGAGGCTTTAATATGATTTCGGACACAAAATGTCAACAAATTAGACATAAATATCTTGAATTGGATTCAAGTTTTGAAGATCTGATTGGATCTCAACGAGAGAAATGAATCTTTCCATTGGTTTGGCTCTCATTATAATTTTTGGTGATATTATCGCTGGAATGTTAGGCATAAGCAAAATGAGTGAATAAATTAAAATCTAGTTCTTTATACAGAAAGTCAAACTCATGAAGAAATGACTTTTCTTTATTTCAGGAGAAAATCTATACATAATTATAGCGAATGTGAGCACAAATCTGAGTTCATATAATAATCGGGGCTTTTTTGAAGTCTTACTTAAATGGATGACTTGTATGTCTAATATAATAATCATGGCTTTGAACCGATTAGAGAATAAGTGATTTACAAAAAGAGCTCACATTTAGAAATAAAAACAATTTATATTGTAAATGAATTGATTCGGTTATCACCAAATAACTAAAGTATTGAATGATTAGTGAACTAAATCTTTTTAAAAACAATCGCTAAAAATAGCAAACATTGAGTAAAAAATAAATTTATATAATATTTCTAACAGACAATTATGAATTGTTTGTCCAATTTTTGATAACTTTAAGAGTTGGCACAGTTTTAAACGTCTAATAAAATAAATTGATTTTTTGTGTGTTAAATGTAGTCATATATCAAAATTGAATACTCGGTACTCTTTTGTTTGATTTGTTGTGTAGAGTATAATAAGTAAAGGTTTTGTGAAATATATTTGACTTCATTGTCAAAGCAAATAAAGTCAGATAATATTCTGTGTCTAAGCTTTGCTTATATTATAAAACATTTTATTGAATCACAGCACAGACCAGAAAAGGGTAAAGGAGTGCAAAATAAGATTAGTTTCGTTCGTTAAACATTCAGAACATGCAGATCCAGACACTCACTCTGCTCTCTCTCTCTCTCTCTCTCTCTCTCTCACTCACTCACTCACTCACTGTATGTTATGTGTGCACTGCACTGGTCTTACCGTACATATGATTTCAATTATAGTCCAGAATATATATGTAATCAAATTGAAAGATAGTAATGAGAGTAGGGTTTAGAATACAATTGAAGGCAAATGTTAGATAAGGGATACGAGAGTTGAAGGGAACCTGCGTTTGGATTATGTTGTGTCAGCTCAACATATCTGTACATTTATGGCACAAAACATAAGTCACTCATAAGTTTTGTGAATTTACATCAAATGACTGTTTGGTGTTTGCGATGAATGCCATTGATGTGGAGCTCAACAAAAAGTAAATTTTTCGCATCAAATCATTTGAGGAGTAGAATTGAAACTAAGTTTAGCATAACTATTGAGAGGACTTTCTGTATAATACATTACATTATATCCTAATGTATACATTGAGTACAAATGAATAAAACAAATATTCTTCAGTCTTTCAGTAATCAAATTGTTATTTCACTCCCCGAGTGATTCGTACGATTCTTTACAATCATTTGAGTCATCCTATCATCTGATCTGTGTTTCTATTTTATCATTTTTATCAATTGAAAAATGTAAGCAAAATGTAATCCAAATGTAAAGCAAGTCTGTAGCAAACGTAACACTCTATCAAATAGTGCTCAGCGATTCATTTCATTATTATTGTCTCATGCAATGCTAATAAGGACCCGCAGGCCAGCACTGCCACACCATTCACTACTACGAGACTATGACTATGGCATACAATGCACTGTTGGGCTGTACTGTATTAGTTGTATTACAAATTAAATTGTTCTTTACATCCAATATCGAGCTCTCAATTCACTTAATTTGCATCGAAATAAGAAGACGAGGACTTAAACTACTACTCCAACTCCATTGACACTACCATTCCTTGCGGGCATTGCCTCCATTGCCTCCATTGCCTCCACTTTTCCCAACTTTCACAGTCACCACAACCTCTCTCTCCTCTATACGCCGCTCCACAAAAGGCCACAGAAATTATTTGACACAACATTTCTGCTATTTTTTACTTTTGTTTAACAATTTTCCAGAATATCAGACCTGAGATATACAAACATAGAGAGAATGTCTGAAAACGTATAAAATTTTAATTAAACATAACCTAAAGGCTCGGTGTCTCTAATTTGATGCTAAACTAACTTCAATGTAAACCAAAAATAAGTTATATTCTCCCAAATCATATATAAATGGAAGTCTGACTCAATCTGTTATCTATTTTTCCGTTTTTTATTCAAAGTCCATAATTTCCCAGAGGTTTAGCTTTTAATAATAGCTCGTTTAGTATTTGATTGACTCTTATTTTCTAAATGTTAAATATAATTTGTATTACTGTTATTATAAGTCATATTACATAAATATAATGCCGTAACTCATTTTGTAGTCTTACAAAACGTAAAATTATATTAATTATTTTAAAATTAATTTTTATTTCTTAAAAATTTAACAAAGTATTAAATACTTTTACTAAGGAAAGTGTAGAGTATTTTATTTCAATCGTGTTTTCATTAAAATTGTTTTTTCTATTGACTTAAAGAGATTGAAATTTTTTGCTAGTTTTACGAGAAGATTAAAGCGAAATTGAAAGTTGGGTTCAATACTGATTTCAATTTTAATTCATTTTATCACTCAACTAAAAATTTAATTAAATAAATTATGTTCACTACAAATAAACAAATTTCAAATAATTCGATAAAAACATTAAATTGAATTGAAAACTTTAAAACTCAATCAATAGATCTTTAATTAATTGTTCACAATATAGTTTTCAACTAAATTAATGGCTAAAAACAAAAGTAATTTGCTCGTCACATTTAAAATCAATTATTGCATTAAATCTGATCTTATAATTGACTTCAATTGACTTAATAGTATACTGTATATTCCCATTAAATAACATTTGTGTTCATTGTTTCTAAAATCAATACAATAATCAATACACTCGCAACATGAATACAAATGTTTTAGCGTTCAATTTGTAATAAAGAACTAATTCATATCATGGTTATTCATGATTTTATTGAAATATTATTTATGTTAATATGATTTCATAATTTTTTTTGAAACTTTCATTAAATTTAAGTACTGTTTGCTATTGACTGCTGTGATTACACAATGAGAGTTGTCTACAGTATATTCAAAATACAATGAATTTGTTGACATGAAAAACAGTGTTCATAAAAAGTAACAAATTATTTATTTTCACTGAATAAAAACATTTAAATCTGAAAATTAATTAATTAAAATAAATTATAAATTCATATATTTTATAGGAGTTTGCGACACATATGCCATTTCTCGACACAACCTGTCATTTGAATATAGTTATCAAAGAAATGCATTAATGAATGAAACTTTTTTGGTGTAAAGTTTTTGTGATAAATGCATCAAAGATATGATTGAGATATAGTGTGAGTTGAATAATCGGTTGGAATTCAATATAAGGTCTAAGATGTGATGTTTAGATATAATTAACGATTTGGGAAATGGGTTCCGAGTGTATGAGCATTGCTTTGTTAAGAACCAGATTTGCAGGTATGGGTGTATGGCTTAGACATCATTTTGCTGTTCTTCATGCCTTGTGTCTGGTTTTGACGATCAAATAACCACACTATCATTCCAGTAATTCCAGGTGGTGCTGGAGTGGTGGTGCTGGTAGTGGTGCTGCTGCTGGAGCTGCCATTCATGCCATCCTCTACTGCATTCAAACATTTATATTATATATAATATAAGTATATATAAGATATATATTCGGTATATATAGATGATATGGTATGTGCGTGAATGGAGTGGCGATAAGTGTTGTGTATGTATGGTATGGATCCCTATCACTCAGCCCCCTATCCATAGACAAGTTGTAAAAGCAACTCATATTAACCTTCTCCTCTCCTTCTCGCTATCCTCGCCTACTATTGGTGTCCGCATCGCGTCATGAGATGTGGAGATGGAGTTTGAAATGAATAGTCCAATGGGGGGACGGTATCACTAGTGAACAGCTCCACCCTATAGTTTATGTCTCGAAATTTAGACCTCGGATCGCTTTTCAGTTTTGCTCTGTTATGCGACAGCAATACTCCAGCGATAGTTTACAGTTGTGTCAGAGATATCGCTATTGCACTCAATTGCACACAACCATAGCTATCGGCGCTTCTGGTGATCTGGTGACTGGTGAGACGGCTTCTGGTTATCTGACTATAGACACGCACTCACGCCGTGCAGACCTCACTAACTAACTGTTCCCTACTAAACACGGATATAACCAGTTGTGTGACCAATCATCACTCGGGTGACGGCTATTCATCCACTTCCTCCTCTTCCGCTTCTTCGCTCTATTCACGCAACCATTTGTCAGACAAACCCCACTTCGCGGTCAAAGTGAGGCCCAACAACACGATAGCGTCGCGGGCGTCGACAGTGTCGTTGTCGGCGCTGCCCTTTCCTTTAGTGCAGAACCCATTCCCAGCTTCCGGTATGACTGCCTTGGGTTTGAGTACAGCCGCCGCGTTGGCAGCGCTCACCGCAGCCAACGGTGCGCTCGGATCCACCGGCTCTTCGGCGAGTCCCACATCGGCCTCAGCAGCCGCTGCGGCCGCCGCTGCCGCTGCCTATGGGGCACATCCCGCCGCCGCTATGTTTATGTTACCCACACTTAACTTCACTGTCAGTCAAGTGGCAGCTGTTTGTGAAACACTCGAAGAGAGCGGAGACATTGAACGACTCGGAAGGTTCTTGTGGTCGCTTCCAGTCGCTCATCCAAACTGCGGGGAACTCAATAAAAACGAGTCAGTACTCAGAGCCCGGGCTTTAGTTGCATATCATTCGGGAAACTTCAGAGAATTGTATCATATCCTCGAAAACCATCGCTTCACCAAAGGTTCACATTCCAAGTTACAGCACATGTGGTTAGAGGCCCATTACCAGGAGGCGGAAAAACTCAGGGGTCGACCCCTCGGACCAGTGGATAAGTATCGGGTCCGCAAGAAGTATCCCTTGCCCCGAACCATATGGGATGGCGAGCAGAAGACTCACTGCTTTAAAGAGAGAACCAGATCTTTACTCAGGGAATGGTATCTTCAGGACCCATATCCCAATCCTACTAAAAAACGCGAATTAGCCACTGCCACCGGATTAACACCAACGCAAGGTAAGCTAACTGTCCTTGTATTCATTTTTGTATGTCATTAATATGCTATCAATAGTAATTATTACATGCATATTAGTGTTATATATCACTTTTATGTAATTTCTTTTTTATTGATTCGTTTTTTATCTTTTTTTCATAATTACACTAAAAGTTGGAAATTGGTTTAAGAATCGTCGACAACGCGATAGGGCAGCGGCTGCTAAAAACAGGTAAATCCTATGTTTCACACACTTATTTGTTAATTACTGTATTCGTTACGTTTATACATATGGCTTGAGTTTAATAATTGACAATTATTTCAATGAATACAATTCAGTTAGCATTAGTATTTTACTCTCGTTTCATGTTTTGCAAATTCATTAAGATTTTAGTAATGTTATAATTACTGCGAAACTGATAATTGATTTGAAATGTCATTACAATTCTTTCGTTATATTTAATTAATCAAAATCAATTCATGCGTTTATAAAAATTTTCAGACTTGGCTATGTTTTATGCTTTTTTTGAAAATATAATTTAAAATTTTTTAGGTGTTGTGATCTAACTTATAAGTTAACTTATAACTAGAGATATAGCAGACAAAGGTTATAGCAAAAGCATATTTCGAGAGATCATTCAAAAGTGAATTCTTTAAAATTTCATTAACAGAAAATCAATTTATATTTTAATATTGTTTACAAGAGTTAGTGATAAAAGAAAAGCAATAAATAGAGAAAATAATTGAAATGAGAAGACCGGCGGAGAACAGTAGCGAAGATGAGCCGAACCATTGATTTAGTGAAATATATGAATACAGAGCCGTTTAGATGCCATCCCCTCACCTGAGCAGCGCTTCCCTAATCATTATAAGCATTATTGTTAGCTTAAAGTGTTTATTGTTATGTCTATGACTATAGTTATGGCACAAAATAGAAACGCCATTAAGTTTTGGAAATTGCATTTCATGTTTTGCAAATTCATTAAGATTTTAGTAATGTTATAATTACTGCGAAACTGATAATTGATTTGAAATGTCATTACAATTCTTTCGTTATATTTAATTAATCAAAATCAATTCATGCGTTTATAACAATTTTCAGACTTGGCTATGTTTTATGCTTTTTTTGAAAATATAATTTTAAACTTTTTAGGTGTTGTGATCTAACTTATAAGTTAACTTATAACTAGAGATATAGCAGACAAAGGTTATAGCAAAAGCATATTTCGAGAGATCATTCAAAAGTGAATTCTTTGAAATTTCATTAACAGAAAATCAATTTATATTTTAATATTGTTTACAAGAGTTAGTGATAAAAGAAAAGTAATAAATAGAGAAAATAATTGAAATGAGAAGACCGGCGGAGAACAGTAGCGAAGATGAGCCGAACCATTGATTTAGTGAAATATATGAATACAGAGCCGTTTAGATGCCATTCCCTCACCTGAGCAGCGCTTCCCTAATCATTATAAGCATTATTGTTAGCTTAAAGTGTTTATTGTTATGTCTATGACTATAGTTATGGCACAAAATAGAAACGCCATTAAGTTTTGGAAATTGCATTACTTTTTTATACTCTCAATGCGTACCCATCCATATGCCAGCGCTCGGGCAGACCTAACAAACCTCCGATTCCTCTCGCATTCACTACACAGAAGTGGAGTAGTAGTCAAACAGGCATTTCTATTCTGTTTGCACTGTTTGGCGTGTTTTTGATTTAAGAGTTATGTTAAGTGCCGCTCAATGAATCAATGTATGGCTGTATGAATGGATCATTTTTTAGGGAGACCTTTATTTATGGTCTGCTCAGCGGACAGACCGTCGGATCCATAATTACATAACAGCGCTGCTCTTGAGTGAGAATTTCTCAGTTTAATGGCTCTAATAATAAGGCATAAAGTGTTAACTCCAACACTAGTCATATGGTTCGTCGTATACTGTAATCATAGGAATACATAAAATTTTAATTTACTTTTTCTTCTTTTCATTTGTTTTTCTAATTCTTTTGTTTCGAGTCTTTGTTTCATTCGTGAAATCCTTAGTCGAGATGTCATTCAATTTAATTATAGTCTTATTGTAAACTTATTTTAAATCTAATTTATTGTTTGAAATTTAAACTACGTCAAAATTCTGCGTATTTTTCAATTACATGTTTTGCTTAACTATTAGATCGAAAGCATTGAAAAGTGAATAGTGTTTTGATTCACAAATTGCATGACTTTAAAAACTAAATGATTAATGGATTTAATGATTATTATTTGTTTTTCATTGAGTTTCTTCTGGCAAAATGACATTTCATATGGATTTTAGATATTCAATGAATTCAATGAAAACCTATTCTTCATGTTTACTGATATGTTAAATAAAACTTCCCTTTTATTAGTTTACGGATTATTATTATTCAATTAAGTTTTCCGTATTGACACAATCGTTACAAACGTTTTTAGCCAACATTTTTCAACTCAACAACTGTTCGCCTCTTTTCACTCGATTCTGTATTTCCATTAGCGAAAGGGCACCGGTCTATGTACTGGCCCTACATTTGCCAACAACTTTGCTATCATTGAGACCGATGTTTCTCTAATATCACTGTATATACGGCTCAGTATAAGGCGTTGAAGTGCACGCAAATGATTCAAATGATTCTCTGATTAAATATCAGTCCTTTCCACAGACTCTCAGACTATCTCTGAACCAAAATTAATGCCGTATATAATGTGCTAACTATAAGAATACCTTATATATCAAAATCCATTAACGGATATATTTGAGATCTAACTTAAAGTAGTTTTTATTAAAAAAAAGTTCTCTTCAATTCATCAAATTATATTGAAAACAAGAAATATTGACTGAAATACAAATACAACTACTGTTTAGTTATACTGTATATTCATACATGTATAATTTAATTCATAAAATAGCACACCTTATATTATAAATAAGTTTTGAATTGACGAACACATTAATATTTGAATAGTTTTATAAAGTACTGCAACGGTTTCCTCTCTCTCTCTCTCTCTCTCTCTCTCTCGCATAGAGAATATGTTAAAATGTTTTCAATTATGGTATTATTCTTTGGCCACCTATTGCTTTATTGAGAGCTGAGCCTAATATACAGTACATAGAGTATGAGTAGTATAGCAATGAATACAACGAAAAGTTGTTAATTAATGCAATTCTAATGTAGAAAACTATTTTGAAACGCTTTGTGAGGGAAAGTGTACACGCGTTGGGACTTCATTTGAGACTATCATTCAACAAAATAGTTGTGATATTCACTCAATTGATATATTGATCCGATTGTCAGGAGCTGTGCCACACTCTGCACTGCTGTGGCGTTGAATACTAGTGCTATTGATGACAATATTTAACACAATGTTAATTCAGTACTAATATATGGGTTAAACTTCAATTTCACATTTAATTTGTTGGTCTAATATATGTATGCCTTAGGGGTTGAGTCCCTTTGAACTACTAGAAGAGAAACCAAACCGATTTACCAGTGCTTATGCTGTGGTTCAGTACATGCATAGAGTGTTTGAATCACAATAACTCATAGAAATGTATGACATGTAGAGCATCCACGGCCACAATGAGGGCCCGTAAGGCCTGACACTAGTTGTGCTGCTCGTCAGCAGCGATGTTGTCGTCGCTGTTGTCCTATCTATTAGACTATTAGTACTATTATTGAAGTTTTCTTTATTAATGATAGCTTTAAAGCTCATTAATGAAAGCCTGTAATTATATATTGCATATTAAGAGCCGTAAATGGCTATTGAGAAGCAATGCAGTGAACAAATAGTTTTCAAAACATCTGTAGTTTTCATTTTCTTAATTATGCCATTGGCTTGACTACCGATTCTGACTTATTTTTACTATTATTACCACAAATATATCTGTTTGTCATTATTAATACGAATATAATATAATAATAATAGAGATTATAATTGACAAAATGAAACGCATACACATGTACTGCCGTTTCCTATAAATACAGTGCATGTTATTTGTATTTAATTTAATGAAATTTAATATTGATTTGAATGTTAAAAGCTATATAAAAAAGTTCGAGAGAGAGAGAGAGAGAGAGAGAGAGCATTGAAAGGAAGAATTGTATGATTGAATGAAAGGAATATCAATGTAATGTTGAAAATGAAAAATAGGAAAACTTGAGGTTAAAAACGGTTGAAAATATTAGTTTTGATTTGACATATTGTGTATAAATATATTGATAGCGAAGCGAATAAATAAAAGCGAATCGTTTATTGAAATGAGTTTAGGGGCAGGAGTGGAGTAACTTCTTGTGCCTTCTCTTCCCTCTCTTCCCTCTGTTCTCGTCTTTCAATTTTCCTCTTATTTGGTTTCGATGGTTAGGGACGACATCCGGCTTTCATGCTGTGGCCATTCACTCACTGTATTCAGTGATGAAACGCTGAAACTTTATGAGCTTTTATAACAAAACTGATCTCTCATTCATCTCCTTTACTATAGATTACTTCACCAACAAATACATCACCAAAAAATGCAAATACACGGCGCCGGCAATCGGGGCTCTTCAGTGTCCACACATTACTCGAGTGGAAGGAATGGGTCAACCAATCTGAGCGGATCGACCAACACGTCATCCTTACACCGATTTAGTGTCGACGCTCTGGCCAGTAGTGCCAACAGTGCTAATAACCAGAAATCACATCTACTAAATGTGACATCAGATGAGGACAATAGTCTCGCCTCTTGGGATGCGGAAGGAGATGACGACGACGACGACGACCCCCTCGATGTGGGCCCTCTCAGCCCGACGGCAGTGTCCACAACGTCCGACTCGAGTCGCGGAGGCAGTAGTCCTTCGATTAATAATATGTCGACAAATAAGTTGAGTAAATAATAAATGCAGAGAAAAGCAGTTATCGTTTGAAAAAGTAATCGTTTAAAACAAAAACATGTAACGAAGTAATGAGTGATCGGATGGAGAGGTGCTTTGAGGTGAGGGCCAGTCGTGGACCCAATCAATGCTCTTCTGAAACGGAACCCAATTATCACAAATTGGTTAATAAGAGAAATGGTTGATCGCACGCACATCGACTTAAACCAGAGACACATTATAAATGCGATATTAATTTTGTCAACATTAATCAATAGTTGTTAATATCTCAGCATTTTATGCATTCTTTACAATTCTCCACACATTCAGTGATCATTCTGTGTATTATATTATTATAAATATTAGTTTTAAACAATTTTCCAAAACTAATTAAATTAAATTCTTAGAGAAATTATAATTATAAGCATTTTCAAATATGTTATGCAATTAAATCATGACTTTAAATATACAAGAATATATTGTTATAGATATTGATATAAAAATTCTAAAATTGTGTGCTTTTATGTTACTTTTGGCTGAAATATATGGGAATATTTAGAAAAAGTAAAGAAAAGGTTTATAAGTGGTGTAAAAATGATGAAAAGGTTTTGTGAGTATTTAAATACAAAGTGTGGTTCACAGATCGATGTTTAGCATCGCATGTGTTTTTGTTACCATATTTTGTGTTGAGAATTGAATTCAATTGAATAACACATAATATGTTTCGATGCTTTTAAAAGAAAACATTGATTTTTTGTCTACATTTAGAAAGGAAGGCCAGACAACCAACAAGTTATAGAGTGTTAGTCTATTTGGCACTACTTTACACTAACACTCGTATTGTTGTAGAGTCTCAATAGCCGATACCAATAGCTTTGCCTATTTTTATTTATGAGAGCTGTTGAACCGGGATATGATCGCATAAACCCAAGGATTATATTCACCAGTTGTGATAGTTTTGAGAGAGCGAGAGAGAGAGAGAGCGAGAGAGAGAGCGAGAGCGAGAGAGAGAGAGAGAGAGAGAGAGAGAGGTGTTATATGGGTGTAGAAATTCTTTTTTGTGGATCTATTATTATATGCATTATATGATACCATAAATTTCTAAATCGGCTTCAGTTATGTTAAGCATTTTGTGATCGAATGGTGTACTGAAACTAAATCTCCATTCATTGCTATTTTGTATAATAGATTTGATGAACTAGAAGAACCTGCACAGTCATAGTGAGCCATGGCTTTAGGCCATCTCTCAACTCAGACCACAAAGAGTGGCCAACCATTGGGCACAGTTGCCAACAGGAGCTCCATTACCAAGTATAACAATACATGTTATTATTGTAACTCTGAATACATAAAATGAGAAAAAAGTATATTTTTCACAATTATTTCATTCCATTGCTATTATTAGACCTGAACATTGAGTAAGCAATACATCAATCCATTACTAATAACTTATTAACCAGTACATTTCTCTCGTCTCTACCATCAGATCCATACCTAAAGCATAGATTGACACTAAAAACACTTTTTGTCAGTAATTTAATTGGTAGTCTTGAAGTGCAAACCAGTGCTCACTATAGCTAACGGTGTGTTAGACAAAAGAAACAGAGTATGAAATAAAATAGTGTTATTATCGTTATTGTCTGATTTTATCCATTTTCTCATTTTAAGAAATAATTATATCACAAATACAATATTGAATGCAAGGGCTTATTTAAATATTTATATAAGTTATTAAGTGAATATTTAGTTAAATGCTTTTAATTGTAATTTGTAATTTATTTTTTGTAATTTAAAATTTATATATCAGTAAATATAAACATAACTATAGTATACATTTATTTTAAAAATGTTTAAAGATAAGTTCATTTACTAAAAATATATCCATTTATTATTAAAACTCTTGTTTTGATTGTTTTGCAAAATGTTTTTTGCTTTAAATTAATTTATTTTTTAAATAAAATAAAGTTTTATTGATTTGATTGAATGAATGGATTGATTTGAATCTTATATAAAAGTATTTGACGCTCGAAGTGATTGCAGACATTAATTAAATATAAGCCATCCTTTGGTATACTTACTATCAGATGATTGTTAGAGTAATTCAGTGATGAGTACAACACATGTACTCTATATTCAAATATTTGTTCGTTCGTAACAACTATTCATTAGTGATGTGTGTGTGTGTGTGTGAGAGAGAGAGAGAGAGAGAGAGAGAGAGAGAGAGAGCAGAGGTTTAGTGAGACTAAGTGTGAAAAGGAAAGGGAAAAGAGGGAGTAATCAAACAGTGAATACATTGAATACTGGATTATAATATAAAAGAGTAAATGATTTGAGTTTTTGCATCAAATGAGACCAATTCCAGAGTTATTTAATTTAATGTTTGAGAATATAACGCTTATTAGTAGTAATTCTCTGTCTCCCATGTCTTGAACACATATTTTAACAAATAATATATTTATGAGAAATAGAAGATAACATAAAGACATGTAATTCCAGACATCATATAAAAGGTTAATAAATCAGAGCCTAATAGCAGTGAAAAGGAAGTGTCAGAACATAGGAGTCTAGCAGTCATTTGGCGCTAACAATAGGTCCAAAACCAAAATATAAAGTAAAGGACTGGAAACAGGTGTAGAATACAGCTCTCAATCAAAGTACTGTATATAAGGACATACAGTATATTATGATAGGAAGGGTAAGGGTGTCAAGCATTCCAAATGACTTATTTTAGTACTTATTGTTCGATAAATAAATTGCTATTATGCCGTCCCCTTCACCACATTTTTATCTGACAATACAAACATTGCTTTTACATATTGGGAGCCTATTGTCTGCCAGAGTAAGTAAGTAAGTGAGGGATAGACGTGCGAGAGAGAGAGAGAGAGAGAGAGAGAGATCCCTTCACCACATTTTTATCTGACAATACAAACATTGCTTTTACATATTGGGAGCCTATTGTCTGCCAGAGTAAGTAAGTAAGTGAGGGATAGACGTGCGAGAGAGAGAGAGAGAGAGAGAGTCTCTTACACTCTCTTATATGTCATAAATAATCATTACGTTTCTACAAATTTCTCTACTTATGAGATTCTCATACACATCATGACTCATAACTTACCTTTCCATCTACTTATAGGTTTATAGCTCACAAGTTTATTAAATACGGCGATGTATGGCATGTATGTATGGACTGCTGGGAGTGAGTGGTGTAGTGGTTATGAACTGTATTGGTTTGCATCGATTCCATGGCATACAATCACTACACCCTCAAAGCAAACACTGCTATAAGAGATCATCACATATGCAAACATTTCAACAATTTTTTATGAAATTGAATATAAGTTTGAATAAGTAGTCTCTGGTTATGTATTAGTAGTTTTCAATGTTTTCAATGTAGCCTAACATCTAATGGTCTAATATTGATAATATGTCAGACATTGTCAGATGGGATCAAATTTGAATGTATGTATCGTTTTACTGCATTTGCTGACAATGTGGATGAGCTCTGCTCTACAATAACACCACTATTATAACACTCGGCAGGAGTTCGTGGTCTGAGACATACTTTTAATGGAAACGAGACTTTGAGTCGAAATCTTTGTGCTCTTTGCTTACCTTCACTCAAATCATACAAATCATAGTCATTACAACTAATGGCTCTCCCATGAGATCGTGTAAACACTGATCACAACTCTGCTAACTCTGAGTCCTCAAAATCCATACAATCCTCACCACTCTCTACACTCTAAGCACTCACTACTGACTCCATTTCAGACCAAAGGGGTTGACTATTACACTGAATATGAAGGCATATGAAGATTACACTGAATATGAACGCATATGAAGCCCAGTCCCAGTCATCTATCTATTACTACTGATGACCCCCTATGAGTGCCCCTCCGTTGGATCGTTTCACCAGATATTTATCCATTGGATTGAATATATGGCAAAATTAATTGACCACCAAATACGAGACTAAATCCGATTTGAGTTCAACTCTACATAATGTTTGTCTTATTAGGAACTGGATGTGAAACAACACACATGACATACCTCGCCAACAAAAAGATGCTGCACTCATACCACTCATACACCACATAATATTAGGTTTCTCTAAACCATAGCTGTTTGCAATGTATGCCATTTAGCAGTAAATCGCACCCACACTCCACACTCTACTNATACCTCGCCAACAAAAAGATGCTGCACTCATACCACTCATACACCACATAATATTAGGTTTCTCTAAACCATAGCTGTTTGCAATGTATGCCATTTAGCAGTAAATCGCACCCACACTCCACACTCTACTTCATACACTACTGCATACACTCCATACACAGGTATGTGAGGTATGTGTGGTGTGAGATGAGCAGAGTGAGAAAGAGATTATGTAATATTAAACTCACATAAAATCTACTCTTAGTTTTGGTATTATAGTGTGTTTAATGTGCTTATAATAAATGTCGCCAGAGATAATACAATAGAGAAATAAGTTTAAATGAGAAACAGTTTCAATGTTTGCTATATTGAGTGAGAATATCGTCATATCATTTGATTTGATTGAGCATTACTTCCAGTTTATCGCATGTTTTCAAACATCAAAACCACTTACACCGGAGTCTCAGTGCACTCGACTATGAAATGTGTATTAAACTGAAAATATCAATGCAATTCATAATACACGCTCTATTGTATTGTATTGTATTATATTGTATTGGGGTATCGACTAATAAAATAAGATATACAGACAGTTGGGTTCAGTACCGGACTGTTCAATGCATGCGAGCACTGCATTAGCGCTCATATAAACGCTATATTATGTGCAATATGTACACCGCGTATTATATTGTCTAATGTTTTGGATTCAAACACAAACATATTTTGTTGGATCCATAGTCTGAGTAAACCTGAGAACAACAAAATCTGTGATTTATAAGAGTTTCTCTAATCGATTATCGGTCACTCGATTTAAGTGAGCCCTCATTCATCATCCATCAGTCCATCAGTCCATCCGCTCAACCCTACACTCATTGCACTCAACACTATCACTACAGTACAGGCTGTACAGGCTTACAGTGCTGTCCACTGCACTGTAAGCTTTGACTCAACTGTAAGAAACAATACTGCAGTGCAATAGTGGATGAGTTATGTATTGAGTATTGGATTGGATTGCTATACATAGCTATGTTATAATCAAAGCCAATCA